TAAACTAAGCTGAAGGGGGATGCTGACTGAAAGCCCTGTAAGTCCAGAAGTTCTCCAGGGATTGATTTCTGGCCCTACACAACTAGTCCTTACGTCCAACCCTGCGACCCCACCTCGAGAAACATCGACCGACACGTTTTAAATTCCCTTTTAAGTGGAAAGTGCCGGTCTAATCAATGTCCAAATTATGGCATCTTGATATTTTTCTAGAGCACCATTTCCGCCGTTTGTGTGAACATCTTTCGAATAAAGTCACTGCTTAAGTGGAATGTCGGAACATTCTTTCCCGATATGGATATAAAACAGACATACACAGCAGAACTTATTGATGCCAACAAATCTCGCGAGAACTTATCAACCGCAGTCCATCGCTGAATAACACAGTCTGTGTGCATCGGGTTCAAGTTGGTAAGCTGCCGCAAAATTTGTTGTTGCCAATAAATTCTGCTTCGCATGCCTGCTTCAGATTAGTCAGAATCCATTATTTCCGGTGACACTCAATGTCTGCATGATGAGGAATTCATTGACTCGTGCGTGTCTTTCCCGCGCCTGCCATTCTTGCTGTCACCAATTGCAGCTCGCGAAATATCTAACATTATCCACATGCATTCCAATATTCAATGAGCACCGTAGGGCTGTACAACTTAGGAGAGCAACTTTGAGAATAGATGAATGCGCAGGGTGAAGGTCAAGTATCTTATCTACCAGTTTCGTAATTTCCTTCAGAAATGGTCTTTTATGCATAGTTCCAAAACAGATATGATTATTTTGTAAAGACAGGATGGGTGGAAAAATGCTCTTACAAAGGGTGCCATATTGCCACGTAGCTGGGATGATTATTCAGGTGGCGCGTTTTGACTGGTTCCCGCGTCGCGGGCATGCGGACCAGGAGTCTGTGCGGGCGTACGAAGGTGTGATTGGCTGACCACGTGCCTGTCTGTGTTCCGGGGGCAGAGTAGTCTTCCCTTTAATCAGCCCTGACAAAATTCTGCCACATTTTCGTGCCTTTAGCACTTGCCCCTGCGACTTGGATTACCTAGTCGACTTTGATGCGCCCTGCGCCTACCTGTCGTGATAATTTCTCTCGGTTACATATTTGATGGACTTCTCTCAGCTACTGAATCACATCCCGCCATCATTAACTGCCACCAAAATGGCACAATTCTAACAATCACTAACCCGGGTGCAACCCACCCACTCGTCGCCCTAGACCTAAGATTTGCTTGCGCACTGCCTAATGCAATTATATACAAGAAAATTCTACTGTTATGGTGGTCTACACATTATCCTTCGCCACGTCGCCCTGCAGGTGAATAATTGAGCGAGACATAACCTCGTTGATGCTGAAATGACCTCATTCGGAATCAGTAAACTGGCTTCAGCAAATTGAAGCATTGTTTCCCCGGAAGAAATTTGAACAAGGCGAAGGCGACGAAACATGCAGAAGTTATTGACGTCGTTAAATTTTGTGACCTCTTATTCAACTGCACACGGTCACTGCGTGCTTAAAAGATAAGGTAAAGTGTTCAATCAGAGATCGGCCTAAGGGGATGAAACATGATAGGTAGATAAAACATAGATTGCTTATCTGATGTATGGGTGCGCATGGCGAGGGGGAAGGGGTGGGCAAGTTATCTAAACAAGCGGGTTTTCATTACGGTGAAAACCTGTCAGGTGTGATTAAAATTCAACACGCGGGACGGCAGTCAGTCATGTGGGGAGAGGGGAATGAGAGAACGGGTGTGAGAATGGGGTTATGTCATTGTCGACCCTCACCATGGTTACCGGGTTACCAAAACTGCACAAGCTAGGAGTGCCTTTACGAGCAATTTTATCAGTGAGGAACTCGCCGCAACATAAACTCACCCAGTGAATAATCCAACCAATCGAACCAGTCAGGCGCAACCTTGCTGCCCACACCACCAAAGATACTTTCTCATGCCTTCATTAGCTGAAGAATCAAGAGTTGCTGAATAAGCACATGATCTCGCTTGACGTGCAGAGCCTGTTTACAAACAAGCCGCTGGACGAAACCGTCGACTAATTTATGAGCTTGCGGCTGAAACAGGCCTGGCACCTAGACAACTGCGGGACCTGCTACAGATATTCACAAAGAATGTGCAGTTCTTATGCCACGGACAATTATATAGACAGATCGACGGTATAGCTATGGGCAGCCTATCGGAGCCAGTCCTAGCGGATATTTTCTTGTTAAATCTTGAACTAAAGTTAGTCCAAAAATTACAGTAAACCGCATCCTATAAGCAATATGTGGACGACATTTTCACCATAGTTAGAATTCCCAGAGACGGAGAATTACTACGTAAGGCCATGAACAAAGCACATGCGAAGATCATATTTACGATCGGGCATGAAAAACGTCACACTGCCCTTCTTAGATGTCCTTGTATGTAGGCGAGTAGATGGTTCTATTTAGAGATCCATCCATCGAAAAACCACCTGGGAAGGACAGTATATACACTTCTTTAGGTTCGAACGAACCTTGGTTTTGTGCCTCTCTAATAGAGCCACTAGGATCTGTTCCCCAAATGCGGTCGACGACGAATGCAGTCTCCTAAGAACGTTTTTCTTGGAAACGGGTATCCGGAGAACTTCACTGATAAGTATCACCATTCCCGACAAGGAAATCCTGTGGAAATATCCGTGCCGAAGAATCCGGTGAGCATCTATCTCCCTTTCAAAGGGGGTAATGTGTCTAATGTGATCTAGCAACGACTGTGGTGCACGACTGAACGGACGTACGCGGGCCTCCAAATTGTTGTTCATAAGCACTACAACGGCTATTCCAGTTATGCCAGCCAAAGACACTTTGCCGATGTATTTATGAGTTTACACTTGGTTGCGGATGCAAATACATTGGGCGAAAGCAGAGGCAGTTCGGTCAGCTGAACACACGGCAAAGTGGCTGTTAAGGGCGGAAAATAAGGTACCAGGAGTTCAATTACAAAGCGCCTCGTGGACACGGGCGACAAGGTAGACCCAATGACTGGATTTAAGGTCCAACTTCGGGCGACGACTAGGCGTCTCCTGCGGTTTGCCGAGGCCGCTGCAATATGGAGGGGAAAACCGGAATTCTGTAAGCAACTGGATCCCGTGATCAACCTCGCACTGCCATGGTAAGGATCGACAATGACATAATCCCATCCCCACACCCGTTCTCTCACTTCCCTCCCCCCACATGCCTGTCGTCCCGCGTGTTGAATTTTAATCACGCCTGACAGATTTTCACCGCAATGGAAACTCGCTACTTAGATAACTTCCCCACCCCTTTCCCCTCGCCATGTGCAACCGTACATCAGACTAGCAATATATGTTTTATCTACTTATCATGCTTCATTCCTCTAGGCCGATCTCTGATTGAACAGTTTACCTTATCTTATAAGTACGCAGTGACCGTGTGAAGTTGAATAAGAGGTCACGAAATTTAATGACGTCAATAAATTCTGCATGTTTCGTCGTCTTTGCCCTGGTCAAACTGGCTGTAGTCAGGAAACTCCCGTGCTCACCGTGAGCACACCATATCCTCCTGACGGCAGTACAGAAATGCCTGTCCCGGCCCTTCAATCAGGTCAGACTGTTGAACATCGTCCTCATGCAACTCAGAACAGGCTCAACCTCGGAAGACAGAACCAGGATCAGTAGCGCCGATGGGAAGGCCCTTCACTTGGTAGAATGCTCTCTGACCTATTGGACAGGGGCTGGTTTGGACGCAATGGTTGACGCAAGCGACTCTTTCACACTGACAGAAGCCAGTTTCAGACAGTCCGATTACTGCTAATGCTACTACTGTTATGGTTTCTACTACTACTACTACTGCTAGTACTACTACTACTGTTACCGCCGCCATTACTACCACCTATACTACTAATTCTACCACTACCACCGCTGCAGCTACTACTACAACTACTGTTACTACTACTACTACTACTACTACTACTACTACTACTACTACTACTACTACTACTACTACTACTACTACTACTACTACTACTACTACCTTATAATACTACTTGACAGGGCGATTGTGGTTTATGACGATGTCCACTTTCTGCTCCAGAGCAGGATGAGAGCAGAGGCAGCCACTCGAACTTGAATTAGGTCATAGCGACGGAGAACTTTAGCAGCGTCTACAGCACCCACCCCTCCCCCACCCGGATAAGGTGCCACGACAGAGTCAGGAAGACCGGAGTCGAGAGAGGGCGCAATGGCCTGCACGGCGTAAGCCCGCATACAGGCGTACCACCACACCCTCAACGTACACGGACCGAGGTTTTATACTACAGAAAGATTGGAAGGAGCAGAACAGGCTTCAGCTGGCGCCGTGTGCGCCTGCAACTGGGCGTGCCAATATATCTCAGTATTGACATTTTTGTGAGTACGCATTCGCAATGATGCATGCCGGATTCCGACCTAGTTCCTGTGTTGGCCCAGCGCACCTGCCGCCTAGCCCGTCTTGTGGACAAACACACACACTTCACTGGAGACCCTCGTTTGATTTGAAACGCCAGATGAATTGTTAACGGACGTGACCGCCGAGCCCAGGGCAAATTCGAACGGCTCTACATCAGAGGCTGAGGGTCAGGGGGTGAACGACAGTCACCCGCAGTCAGGCCCGTGGTGCAATCAGCAATCCAAAGAAACAGTCACCCTTACTTGTGTAAATCCCACGCCCGTAGGCCTTTCCCCACTATCAAACACTTCACGCGCTCGCCATCTCCGCGAGTTCAGGATAGGGGCTCCTCTAAAACGCTTCTGTGGGACAGAAGATGTAATCGACTGCGAGGTAAAAAGGAGGCAGCAAGGGGAAAATACGTGGTTAAGTAAAGATCCATAGTCAAAAGGACGGCGAGTCAGTAGAGAGATGGAAAGTAACGGCTGACAGACATAAGAGATAAAGCTGATCAAAAAGAGACACAGTCGATCATGTGGAGGTGCGGTGGAGAAAATTTGGGAAGGTATTGCTTTTGCCAATAAACCGGTTACTTGGAGCACTTCTTAAAGATTTCCTGCAGCTCAACTTGGCTGGGCACATAAAAGTAGGTGCCAGTGAGGGGTTTGGTGAAGTTAAAGAGACTATCTGCAGTCCCGTCGGGAGTTAAACCCGCCATGCGGTCAAGCATCCAATCCAGGGTTTTGGGCGTGGAAGAATAGCCAATGAAAAAGAGGCCCGCTTCCCCCGTGACACTTCCGTAGGGCATGGAGTGGCGCACTATGCGCTTTGAGTCGGCTTCGGCATCCGAGAGACCTAAAACACACCGAAACCTGGATTGAGCAGACAAAAACTTCTGATCATCGTCACCGCCAACAGCCTTACTGGCCAACAGATTTAAGCTCAAGTAATTACTTCCAGTTCGCGCAGTAATTTCCGCGGAAGTTGATTTCCTACGTCAGAAAGAATAAGAGGAACGATGGGGGACCAACTGATGGGTCTTACCTCCTGTAGTCGCGTCACGTGGCGGCACAAGATCAGCGAAACACTAGCACTGGTGCTGTAAGTATAGTAAATAATTCTGCATTTGAACACCAGTATCATTCTCATCATTAATGCGGGAAAAACAGCCATAGAGTAATTATAAACCGTTTTACGGTGGGACCACAAAATGCGGAGTGGAGAGTAGGCTAGTCTGAGATGAAATAAATGATGCATGAAGGTTAACCGTATTCCATCGCCATCCGGGAGGATGTTAGTATGTCTTAGCAGACCTGGCCTGGTACGTTACGTCGACAGTTTAACCGTCTTGCCATCGTGTGCAACACAGCACGATGACAGCACGCACGATGGCTTCCAAGTGGTTTTTTTTATAGTGAGAGTAGACTTACACAGCATCTACCACACCCCCTCCTCTTCTTCAACCTAGAGACGGGGTCAAGACAAAGTCGAAAAACCGGAGAGGGCGCAGGTAACTGACAAAGCCGGATCCACATCTAGGCGTACCGCCACACCCCATGGTCCACAAAAAACACTCGATCAGGATTTTAACCAAAAACGAAAAACGGGAGGGCGGCAAGGGTTCCAATGGACGCGACATGAGCCAGCAGTTGGGCCTGCCACCGCACACCAAAAATAGGCATTTGTTATTGTTATGTATGCAAAGCAGAAGGTTAATTGGAAATAGGGGTAAGATGATAGTTGGTAGCCGTGCCCGCAGTCTCCACAATGGTACCCACTAGCTCTATTTCAGTAGCTGTGATTGCGTTCTCATTATGCTTCTAAATTCATGCCCCTGCTGTAATACCTGTAGCAGATTCATTTTAGAGGTGCTATCTTGGGCAGATTTGCACCGGTAACGATGACAATGAGGCTTACCCTATATAAACTGTCATTAGAAGAGGTAGTTGGCAACCGTGTCCACAGAATCCAGAATTGTACCTACTGGCTTGATTTCAGTAGCTATGATTACGTTCTCATTATGCTTCTAAATTTACGTGCGTGCTGTATTACCTGTACCAGATTCATTGTGGAGGTACTATCCGGGGCGGATTGGCACCGGGAACGATAACAATGAGGCTTACCCTTTATCAACTTTCATTAGCAGAGGTAGCTTTCGACTGCCTCATTATTTGCAGATTTTATCTTCCGCCCAACCCAATTTTTCGCATAAAAGTCTTACCCGGCTTGCGTTGTGGCGTCCCGCGTGCCGCTGTTTGACTTTCGTGTTCTTCTGTCCATTATGTTGGATGGAGTTCTATCGCACACACTGCGGAATGACCTTCGGACCAGTTGCCTTCTTCCCATTGGTTGTTCGCCTTCACTTGCTTTTCCTTCCAATCTGAGGCTAGGATGCATTTATTCTGCACACCGTTCAAAATCTCCTTGCTCATTTCCATACCTTCCTTGTATTTTTCACATAATCTAAATTAGGCTTCCACTTTATCAGGAGCGTCAATTGCGAGCATATACTACAATCGCCATTTACCCGTCCACTCAATTGTCCCACCCGTATAGCCCCTATTACCACCGGTCCCGATTGACAGGCAGCTGGGAGTTTGCGGTGTCAGGACGGCTACCAACTATCATCTAACCGAAACAGGACTTTTACCGAGTACGGTAAACAGCACAAGTGAGGAGGCTTGTGGAAGCGGTCGGTTATATAGCAAGGGGGACTGCCATAGGCTGATGGGTGGCCAATCAGCACAAAGAAAGTGTGAACAGGGGGTCATGACCTTGATCGTTCGCTTGTCAGGCGTTTGTGGCATGATGTCCTGACGGCCCGGGAAGGATACGCTGCAGTTATGAGTGTGTATCCCCGATAACGCCTGCCAGAATCCAATATGGCCCCCCCGCGTTAGTCCAGCTCATCTACCGCGTAGTCTGTTTTGGGATCCATAGCGTCACAAGGCCAGTGACCAACTGGTGTAAACACCCACCTCGATTCATATTGGACGAAAAGAACTGACAGCGGGGGGGGGGACATCCTCTAAACACGAGGTGGACACGATATAGTGCACGCATAAGACAACTAACTGGGGGGGGGGGATTTGAAACGAAGGTCGCAGAAGTGATTGTTTTCGCCCACCCCCTATGTGTGGGACGTTACCTACGTATGCAAGCCACACAAAGCCTCTGACAGGCTTCTGTTTTCGCTGACAGTTGGGGAACAGGTTGCACAGACGCTGGAGGAGAACGAAGTTGGTCAAGCAAGTTGGGCAGACTACTAGCGACTTCATTGCCCGCAACAGGTGAACTGATGGAATGGTACGAACGACGGCGAGAAACCAGCTGTCAGCTGAGCTGATGGTCCACGTAAGCAAGGTGCTGCTGGCTAAAGAAAATTGCCCGCGTAATGCCGGCAACAGAGGGGGCAGCCGTCGGGTCTCGGGACACTGGGACTGATTGCAGGGACCGCCCGTGTTTAAGAAGTTGCAGTAGCGTGAAAGACAACTGCATAATCGGTCAAGTTGCTTTTCGGTACTAGATACGATAGGAAGAAGTTTCATCCCCTAGCTAACTGACGGAAAAACTTAACTATAAGCTCAAAACATGCATATTTCGGATGACCTCTTAGTGACCTACAGAAGCCTGTAGATGGAGTCTAGAAGAAATTCCATTAAAAATGGGCAAGACATCATCCAGCTTCCCAGTCTTTAGATGAAAACTAGCATTCGCAATCGAAATCAGGACTTAAAGAGCGCAAAAATGATGTTCGCTTCGGGATCTAAAACTGCAGCTCGATATACGCAATGGACTGTGGTTACCAACTAAGTGAGTCAGATGCCTATTAGGACCAACTGTTGAAGAACGGAAACCAGGTTACTTAGCTTGACCGGGCTCCCACTACGCTAATTCAGCCGGTGATTACCAGAAGTAAAAAAAGGCTAGACTGAGCGTACAGCCTTCAATTTGGACGGGAAGTGAGACCTTCTGTCGATCGGATGCTCACTCAAGCTGTGCGTATGGACCTGTATTTGAGGCGACCGGACGCGTGGTCAGTCGAGAACGTTGGGAGGATGTCATTGATGACATTGACGTGCTCCGTGGCTTTACTAAATGGTGGTTGCTTGTGATTGCAACAGTGGTGGCGGCTTGTACGACTGGAAACATTTGAGAAGCGGGGACCGGGAACTGCAGCTTTGCACTTATCGATAGCTGGCTGCTTGCTGACTGGTTCAAACCAACATCGGTCGGTCTGGTTCCCTATTCACAGTCTGGTGACAATATCAGAATACAAGGAAATGCTTGTGCAAGCACACATCGACGGATGCGGGGAGCCAAGGGGAGGGAGGGGGTCGGGGGTTCCTTACCTGCTGTCATACGGCCCACATGGGAGTGGACGGCCACCGGTTTTATCTCTATGCTGTCTTCCTTCGTACGACCAATCCAATCCTCCATAGTCTTGACTATAAAAAAAAAAAACAGGGAAAAGAAGCCTTCAGCTTCCAGCTTTTGCATTCACAATAGTTGCAGATTTGAAGAAAACGTCAAAGTGGACGAGGTTGAGGCAGAGCATCTGCAATGGGGGCGCATCAGGGAAAAAAGTCTGACACGGACAACGCAGCTGTGATGGTAGTGGTGGCGACGGCTGCTGCTCAAAGGATGGAAAACGGCGAAGTTGTCTGTCTGTCTGTCTGTGAAGACAACTTGGTCTATAGAACGATCGTTTTTTTGATGGAAGTCGATCAGTGGGATCTGGGAATCGCACTACCACCACGGGCTTCAGCTGGTCTACAGTCGAACGTTTAATCTCACTGGAACAGATGACATGTGCATCTAAGGCTTACTTGGTTTGACACCATTGGCTAAGGGTTTGTTGTATAGAATCTGGTCGAGAATTAGACAAAATTTTAACCTACTGAAAACTGTTCTTCTACTGAAGATAAGGAAATCGGACCACGACAAATGACTAGTCTATTTAGCCGAGATAAGAGAAACACCAACGATACCTGAGTCAAAACATCAGGTTCATGAGCTGCTCAGAAGACGCTACTGAATAACGCTCAGCTAATAACGCCAGCGACAAGAGTAACGTTACTAGCAGGCAGTATGTGAGACGTCCCATTTCCCCGATAATGTTTGCTATACTGGCACCAGTTATACTAGTAGCAGTAATGGCGATAATAGCAACAGGATTGTAGCAGCAGCAGGAGCAGCAGCAGCAGCAGTAACAACGGCGATAGAAAAAGTAGTAGTAGTAGTGGTAGTAGTAGTAGTAGTAGTAGTAGTAGTAGTAGTAGTAGTAACAATAATAGTAGTATTAGTAGTAGTGATAGCAACAGCAGTAGCAATCGTATTGGAAATGGCGGTAGCATTAGTAATATTAATAGTAGTGTTGGTGTGTGTAGTACGCGCATATGTGACGGGCTCGGGACTAAAGCCAGACTCAACGGTCCCTTCTTAATGCAGCCTTTATGGCGATTCTACTAAGGCGAAATCCCGGCCGTCCCATTTTTGAAAAAGTAGCGCATTGTGCGCGTGTATGGCACGCGTAGTCGTATAGTTCTGTCCGTCACTGCGCATGGGACGGCCACCGGTCATCCCGACTCATGTCGCATTACCGGGACAAGGTGAGGGAGGGAGAAGAGAATGCGGCAGATAGCGCGCCAGTCTGCTATCATCAAAAACTAATTCACGCGCAAGCCACCGCTCTGCGTTCGTCATGCAGCGGGGAACACGGTAAAAATCACCGTATAGGACGGTTGAACAGATAATAATGGCGGTATTTGTGGCAGCAGTAATACTGGTAGTAGCGGCAGCGCCAATATTGACGACAGTAGTAGTAGTAGTAGTAGTAGTAGTAGTAGTAGTAGTACCGTTATTATTATTAGTAATAGTGGTGGTAACGAATGTGGCAGTAAACGTAGTAGGAGGGGTTTTCGGCAGTTCGACCGTCCCTGCTGACGGTGAGAGCAGAGGCGGTGAATTGAACTTAAAGTAATTTAATGCGACAGTAGACTTTAGTAGCATCTACCACACTCTTCTCCCACCCCACCCCCAGCCTGTTAATACAGAGTTAGGAAGACCGGAGTCTGGTACGGCAAAAACCCGCACCTAGGTGTACCACCACACCACCTGGTCCACAATGTACACTTGACCAGGATGTAATGCAAAAACACGGGCGCCGCGTATCGTCACTCACGCAATTTTGACGTCTCTTAAGGGTGGGCCTGTCCAATAACGCCTGCCGTACCCCAATCTACAGTGAATGACCGATCTCATGAAATCTTGGCCGAAATTCTGAAGTGCGTTTTCGGTTAGGAAGGATTACTTAGACGTGGTTATAATACTGATTATAATGCAGCATAATCCTATAATATTTCGGACTCGGCAGGATGTCAGCTCGTTAATGCACCGCTTTTTAATCTTTTAAGGGTTTAAAAAGTTTTATAATTCCCGAATAATTTGGAGCTTGATCCGTCGTCGCATTAGCGCTTAGTAATTTCAGTCTAAAAGGTGCCTGCGTTCCGCGTAAAGAAAATCACATTTTTCTATGCCTCAAAAGGATATTATACAGAGTCTACAAAATTTGGCAGTGGATGCGGACTACTCTGTACGTTTCACGAGGAGCTGTCGTAAATGGACATGTACGATGCTGTATGAATGGACATTGCACAGTCTTAAAAAATCTCATAATTAGAAACTTTTTAAAATTTAATCACACTTCTTCTTTGAGTATAAAATACAAAGAAGACGCAATTCTCTATCGAACGACCAAAAGAAAGCATATTTTGTCTGTGGTTTTTATAAAATATATTTGAATTTGCAAGACCATCGAAAATCAATGGGAAAAAGCATGCTACTGAAGTAGCCATTTTTCAGGAGGTTGAAAAGAAGTGCATTTAAAAGCCGACATCCTGCCGAGCCCAAAATGTTATAAGAGTATGCCACAATATAATCAGTATTATAACCGCGACCAAGAAATCTGTATGATAGCTCTTTAATGGCATAGAAAAATATGTGATTTTCTTTATGCGGAACGAATGCACCTTGTAGAATGAAATCACTAAGCGCTAATGCAACAAATGCTCAGGCTCCAAATTATTCGGCAATTAGAAAACTTCTTTAAAACTTAATTATACTCTTTCCTTAAGTATAAAATATAAGGAAGACGTGATTCTCTATTGATTGACTAAAAGAAAGAATATTTCTGTTTATGGTTTCAATAAAATATATTTGAATTTTCAAGACCATCGAAAATCAATGGGAAAAATGCATGCTACTTTAGTAGTCATTTTTATGCCAAGCACGCATTCTACAGGAGGTTGAAAAGAAGTGCATTTAAAAGCCGACATCCTGCCGAGTCCAAAATGTTTTAAGAGTATGCCACAAGATAATCAGTATTATAACCGCGACCAAGAAATCCTTCCTAATCGAAAACGCATTTTAGAATTTCAGTCAACATTTCATGAGATCGGTCACTCACTGTAGTCACTCGTGTTGATACACCGCATCTACCTCTCGCCCGTTTTGGGAACTTCGGAAGGTGATAGAACGTCACACAGTAATGCGTGCTCTCAGACAAAAGAGGCTGATGCATCAGACAATGTTGGAGGTTTTTTTTGGTTGCATCAGGTACTGCCAGAACTCAGAAAAAGGACAGGTTGCCGGAGACATTACAGCTTAAGACACGAACCTACACTGACTGATAACAAAGGCTTGAAGTATTTGGATTAATAGCGCCGTTTGTAGGCAGCAAGACAGACAGCCCGAAATGAGACGAAAGGGAGGGATTTTCATGGCCTACCAGGCTGTTTGGTGATTGTGCTGAAGTCGTGGAGCCACCTCTGAGTGACGACGTAACTACCACCGGTCGCCTTGCTGATTGCAACTTCCTGTCGCTCGTCCGCATCGGCTGGGTTCTCGGTTCCTGTCCAAAACAAAAAAACCAACATGAAAAGGAGCAAGTGGTTGGTCGCAGTGCTACCGGAGAGCAACCATAATAGCCAAACAGTTAGTAAAAACTACAACAACAACAGCGAACGCAGTTCACCTTAGCTAGTCCTCAGTAGTCCGTCCGAACTCAGGAATGTGAAGTATACTGGGGATTTTCCCATCATCAGCATCGATGTCCTTACAATGAGGAGTCCAGACGGAACAATGGACAATCCTTACAAGGGTTTGCACGCTCTTCTCGCGTCGGTGTTAAAGTAGGAAATGCAGGTCTCCTTAAAATCTGAAGTGGGATCTATTGGATTTGGGAAAAAGGCTTACTACTACTACTACTACTACTACTACTACTACAACTACTACTACTACTACTACTACTACTACTGTTACTACTACTACTACTACTACTACTACTACTACTACTACTACTACTACTACTACTACTACTACTACTACTACTACTACTACTACTACTACTACTACTACTACTACTACTACTACTACTACTACTACTACTACTACTACTACTACGTCTCCTTAAAATCTGAAAAGGGATCTATTGGATTTGGGAAAAAGGCTTACAACTACCTATGCACAATCCTATAAAATGTTGGCCGGAATTCTAAAATGCGTTTTCGATTGGAAAGGAATGCTCATGTAGGGTTGTCATAACGATTATCGTGCAGTATAATCCGTAGATACCTCGGTCACGTCGGGACTCATGGTTTTTAAACGTACTTTTTCCCAACTGTCTGTAAAAACCACAGCCCATAAAAGCTGGATAATTATGTAGTATGGATTTTTCTGGCTGATTTTCGATGCCCTTATAAATCCAAATATATTTTATGCAAAACATGTACAAAACTATTGGTTCCTGTACTCATTTCGTGGCAAATTTTGACTTCCTTAAACTTTATACTCAAATACAGTGGGTGACCTATCTCATGAAATGTTGGCTGAAATTCTGAAATGCGTTTTCGATTAGGGAGGATTACTTGGTCGCGGCTGTAATACTGATTATCTTGTGGCATACTCTTATAACATTTCGGTTTCGACAGGATGTCGGCTTTTAAATGCATTTCTTTTCAATCTCCTGTAGAAAGCGTGTTTGGTAAAAAATGACTACTTAAGTAGCATGCATTTTCCATTGATTTTCGATGGTCTTGGAAATTCAAATATATTTTATAGAAATCATAAACAAAAATAGGCTTTCTTTTAGTCGATCAATAGAGAATCACGTCTTCTTTATATTTCATACTTAAGGTTTTAAAAAAGTTTCTAATTATGAGGTTTTTTAAGACCGCGAAATGTCCATCCACATAGCATCGTACCTGAACGTTTACCACTGCTCCTCATGGAATGTACAACATAGTCCGCATTAATTGCAAAATTTTATGGACTCTGTATGATGTCTCTTTAATGGCATAGAAAAATATGTGATTTTCTTTACGCGGAACGAATGCACCTTGTAGAGTGTAATCACTAAGCGCTAATGCAACGAATGATCAGGCTCCAAATAGTTCGGCAATTGAAAAACTTTTTTAAAACCTATGTAAACTCCTTCTTTAAGTATAAAATATAAAGACGTGATTCTCTATTGATTGACTAAAAGAAAGCGTATTTTTGTTCGTGGTTTTTATAAAATATATTTCAATTTCCACGACCATCGAAAATCAATGGGAAAAATGCATGCTACTTAAGTAGTCATTTTTTGCCAAGCACACCTTCTACAGGAGGTTGAAAAGAAGTGCATTTAAAAGCCGACATCCTGCCGAGTCCGAAATGTTATGAGTATGCCGCAAGATAATCAGTATCACAACCGCGACCAAGTAATCTTTCCTAATCGAAAACGCATTTCAGAATTTTAGCCAGCATTTCATGAGATCAGTCACTCACTGTACATGGTATCTTCCGGCTTTACAAAGGACTGCCTAATGTCTACTCATGCAAAATCGTGTCTGACCATGTATTAATGCTGCTTGTTAATTTTACATGTTCCACACCTATCGTAAATTGTTGTGAGTCCTATAAGACATTTCCTTAATAATTCAGATAAATGTATGACTTTTACATTGAAAGTACACAGCATAGATTTCCAAAACTCCTAGAGCAAATGAAATGGCAAATCGGATTCGAAATTGTGTGCAAATGAAAAAACTTTTCAAAGTTCATTAAAAAGTTAGGGGAAGACGCAATTTGCTACTAGGTAAACGCCAAAAGAATGTTTCTGCGAATTTCTTCTATAAAATATTTGGATGTATGGGGACGCCGAAACTTAATAGAAAAGCCCCATACTACTTAACTGGTCATTTTAACAGGTGCGGTTTTTGAAAAAGACAGGAAAAAAGGACATTCAAAAACGGATGTCCTGATGTAACCGAAATATTTCTTAGTTATTCCGCACGTAATCAATATTACAATCCCAGTTAAGTAATCCTTTCGGTAAGATGTGGTTATGTAGCCCCACGTGATGGACAAAATGCTGTTGGGGTTAGGGTAACTATTTCTCAACCACTCAAAGTATAACCGCGAATTCCCAATAGCTTTTCTTTTGCATACAACAACTTGGCCTCGTCGCCTGTGCGCTCCCCGGTCCCACGAGTAAAAACCCTTATTACCACCGGTCCCGTATTACAGGTGGCTGGGGTTGTTATTACTTCAAGTGGGGCTACATAACCATATCTGACCATCCTTTCAAATCGAAATCACATTTCAGAATTTCCGTTCACACTTCATGAGGCTGCTCACTTACTCTCATTCTAAATATTACTTTTCTGTTCGCTTTCGCTTAAAGTCTACAAAACACATAGTGCGTACTTCAGATAAGATGCACGACATTTATCGAGCGTCGACGTTATAAATAAACGTGCTGTTACTCGAAAAATATTGCTGTATACTTAAAAAGTCGCATAAACACGTGCGCTGGGGCTTCATCGCCATTCCAAAATAGCTCGCAGCTAACTGCAACATTTACCATCAATGAAACCACTCAAATCTCTTCCGTTTTGGTAGCGGAAACCATAGACCTCTTCCGTCTTCTCTATCGCCTTTTGCGGGACCTCAGATTGAATAGCCTGTGAGAGTTCGAACAGCTTTCCGTACTCCGCACAGCTGGCGTGGATCCAGATGTCACCACCTGAAAAAGAGGGAACAATGAAGTATCGCGGAAACGGAAAAAAAACAGTCACCAGCTTTTCCGATGTTAATACGAAATAGTGCGTAACTTGTGTCGTATCTGCATTACGATCTTCAGTGAAAAAAGCCTGAACACTGACAACAAGCCACTAACTGACGTGGGGTATCCTGTTATTAAATAAACGCTTTAGTGTGGCCTTTGCCTGACGTATTAAAATTGCGAGTGAAACTTTCCCTCTTGGGTGTTTAACGCGGAACCCCTATCGGGACGCATTAAATACTAGCCGGGATCAAAACAACGGTTTGGTATCGGTGTTGGGGCTGCAGTCGAACCCGCAGATCCTCCAAAAACACACCCGACCGCGGTTTTGAGGTCGGTCAGGGCAGAGAGCAGACAGCTTTCGCTGCCTTAGGCCCATCCGACAGGGCAAAAAAGGGAATTTACCATCGATATCAGCCAGGCGGCGATTTTCGCCCGACTAAACTGAAACCTTGAAGTCAGATCAGTCAGAAAGGCAAACTGCCAAGATGCGAGGGACAGTCCTCTTAGTAAAAATGTGAGACATTGTCAAGAGAAGCGAAGAGACGAGTTCCAGGAAGCAGTCTTGAAGAGGGAGACACGATCGCTGGGACAAGGGCTTTATTAGCCTGACGTTTCGGATTCCTGCTTGAACCCATCATCAGAGGCAAAAGCAGACAGGGGTGGTTCATGCACAAGGGGCTGCAGTATTTATATGATGCAGTGGCCATGCTACCGCATACCTATGAATATTCACGGCTCCCTCCCCTTCATCATGGATCGTTGCACGTGGTGTGATGGCCGACATTCGCGTCGTTAATTGCTGCAATTTCATCACGTGCGTTGGATGTTGGTGTGATGATGGCTCGACCATCTGACCCACCGACCCTGGGGTTGGGAAAAGTATCCACCTGTGCACTCCCCGCGTGGCCAATTACTCTGCTTAGGCGAGGTGAGCACTGAGTATGGAATGGGAAAATCATTGCGCTTGTTAATAGATTGGGGGCCAGTAAACCATGACTCAAGCAGGTCCCGACAGCTCCAACGCACGTGATGAGATTGCAACAATAAACGACGCAAATGTCGGCCATCAAACAGTCATCACATCACGTGCAAGGATCCGTGAATATTCATAGGTATGCGGTAGCATGGCGACTGCGTCCTATAAATGCTGCAGCCCCTTATTCATGAACCACCCGTATCTGTTTTTTGTCTCTGATGATGGGTTCGAGCAGGAATCCGAAACGTCAGGCTAATTAGGCTCTTGTCCCAGCGATCGTGTCTTCTTCCTCAAGAATGTGAGACATGTCTTGCGTGTTCAGAAGCTATCAATTTTCAGGAAGTATTCGGTCGATGGGGCTGTGTTTCAATCACCCAACTTGTCTCCCCGATTATTTATGCAACGAGTAACCACGAGTCACATTTCGTGGCCATCGTTACCGACAATGTCCACCGTCTGTTCCACATCAGGGTGAGAGCAGGAACTGTGACTTGCTAGCCTGACGTTTCGGATTCCTACTCGAATCCATCATCAGAGACAATCCGAAACGTCAGGCTAATAAAGCTCTTGTCCCGGCGATCGTGTCTCCTTCTTCAAGACTACTTCCTGGGACTCGGCTCTTCGCTTCTATTGGCAATGTATTTGGGCGCGATACGCTCCGACCGGTCCGGCGATGGGAAACCTTCGCCCTTCGAGAGGCCTCTACGTATTCGCAGATCCGGTTTCTGCACAGGTGTCTCGACAATAATGTGTTTCATACAAGCCACCGGTTAACACGGATTTGGCGAGGCGAGCAGTATTTCAGCACGGCAGAAGGATGATCCGAGTGCTCCTCCAAGATTGCCAAGCGACACTTCGTAAGTACCGTCAAAGGATTGACCAAGAAAAGACCAGATGCTGTGAGTTCATGGGTGAAATCGGTACGAATCTGCTCCGGCGGAGGATAGCTGAACAAGCCCGCGAACAGAGCACGATACGCGACGCAGCACTGGAGAACAAATTTCGAAAGCTGCCCAATCCAACGTCGCCCAGAAACGACAAACGGGTGCACAACCTGTCATCAAAGGAGCTGACGAAAGATCAGATGCTGGTTTTACGGCACGGAGCTTCATTTAACACGGCTGACGCCAAACCTGTTAACATGATTGCAGCAGTGGAATCAATCCTTTGTCAGACGGAGGCAACGGAGGAGACTAAGAACCTCATCCGACACCAAGTGTCGTCTTTCCTGATGGCCCACAGGCCGCGGGAAGTGCTTTCCAAGGTCGAACGTGATGCGCTTAGAGAACTCAAGGCCGACAAAGACCTGGTCATCGTGCCAGCGGACAAAGGACGCGCCACAGTTGTACTGGACAGGACAGACTACCTTCAAAAAGCCAAAGGTTTACTGGAGGACCGACAGTTCTATGTCCCGTGTGCAACGAACCCTTTAAAGGCGCTGACACGCGAAATTAATGCTACGTTGTTGGCCCTGGAGAACTCAGGTGCAATAACACCGACCGACAGACGCATGGCGGGACCCCAAGATACGGCTTTGGCCCGATTCTATGGCCTCCCTAAGGTGTACAAAGACGGCGCTCCTCTCCGACCCATCGTGTCGCTCAAAGGGACTCCAACGTACGGACTGGCTAAGTGGCTGTTCCGGCGTCTCAAGTTCCTGACCGCTGAGTCAGACGCCACGGTCTCTTTGTCAGCACAATTCCTGGAAAAACTCAAAGGGGTAAGCATCCATTCAAATGAGGTCATGGTATCTTTTGATGTTACATCCCTTTTTACTTTTATTCCCCAGGACCTGGCGATCGAGACAATTCAACTGCTACTACAAAGCAAATACGATGAAACGGAGAACCGTCTTGGACACGCCCAAATCCTTCAGCTCCTGAAGCTCTGTCTCAGGACGTACTTCAGGTTCGACGGGACAATCTACGAACAGGTGAAGGGCACACCAATGGGTTCGCCGATTTCGAGATTCATCGCCGAGGCGGTCCTGCAACGGTTAGAGTCGCTGGTCTTCCAACACCACAGACCGAAATTCTGGGCCCGGTATGTGGATGATACATACCTGCGTCGTCATCGAACGGGATCAGGTGTTGACATTCCAAGAACATCTCAACGCCGTCTTCCTGGACATTCAATTTACGATGGAGGAGGAAGAGAACAAGCAGCTGGCCTTCCTGGATGTCCTCGTATGCCGCAAGGATTGTGGTGGATTAAAGACCAAAGTGTTCAGGAAAGCGACAAATGCGATGCAAGTACTGAACTTCAACAGTAACCACCCAATCAGCCACAAACGCAGTTGTGTAAGGACGCTCTATCGGTGTGTCGAAACGCACTGCGGTGAGCCGGAAGACAAAATTGCTGAACTACAATACCTCCGACGGGTCTTCAAAGCCAATGGCTACCCGCGCAACTTCGTCGACCGGTGCATACGCAAAAGGGACGAAAGGTCTAACTGCACGGACACTAAAGTTTGGCGAGCGCTTCCATATGTCAAGAACGTTTCGGACGCTGGTGGCGTTGGAGTGGCACACAGGCCAGAGGCAACCATCAGGCGTCAATTGATGAAACCAAAAGACCCACTGCCACGGCAAGAAACGTCTGGAGTCGTTTATCGGATCTGGTGCAGTTGCGGACAAAGCAACTACGTCGGAGAAACCGGAAGACAGCTCAAAACGCGAGTGGCCGAACACGCTGCAGCAGTGCGGAGAAATGACGCCAGCTCTCAAGTTGCGGCTCATTCGACGAGATCCGGCCACACATTTAAATTCGATGAGGCCGAAATGCTCGCAAGAGGTGACAACCGAGTGAGCCGGGAGCTACTGGAATCATGGTTTACTGGCCCCCAATCCATCAACAAGTGCAACGATCTTCCCATTCAATACAGCGTGCTGAGACTTCGTCTAGGCGGAGCAATTGGCCACGCGGGGAGCGCACTGGTGAACACTCTTCCCAACACGCGGGTCAACGCGTCAGATGGTCGAGCAATCATCACGCCAACATCCAACGCACGTGATGAAATTGCAGCAATTATCGACTCGAATGTCGGCCATCAAGCAATGATCACACCAAGTGTGACAATCCCGGATGAAGGCGGAAGCCGTGAACGTTCATAGGTATGCGGTAGCATGGCTGCTGCATCCTATAAATACCGCAGCCCCTTGTGCAACAATCACCCGTTTCTGCTCTTTTGTCTCTGATGATGGAGTCGAGTAGGAATCCGAAACGTCAGGCTAATAAAGCTCCTGTCCCGGCGATCGTGTCTCCTTCTTCAAGATGGCCGAACTATCAGCAGCAGGTAAAATATTGGTGGGGTCTTAACCACCACAATTCTCCAGGAGACGACGGAGGAGACAGGAACCGTCCTGTACGCACCAAACGTTGGGGAGTACGGTGGGTATTGTCGTTCACGGCGGTCGAACGGACATAGGACAGGGATCCCAACTTGTGTAATTCCTCCCCGCTAGCAAGCCCTGCTAAGTGGACCCAAAGGAGGAACACTCCCGGATGTCATCCCGCCCGAGCTGGACTTTGACCGGCTAGAAAGTTGGGGAGGATTTCCGGCAAGTAGAGACATTAACAGTGGTTGAAATATACGCTTTAGATGGATTACCGTCACCAGTGCAGACGTTCACAGCCACACTCAAGTTCATGCGGGCAAGCGCCAGAGAGGAAGATAAACGGAAAGTAACGGGGCACTAGGCACTAAAACGAGTCCCACAGTATAATAGCGACAGATCTAGGCAAATATTTGCATAGATGCAATTACCGTGCTAGCGAAACCGACGATGGAAAGGATTATCCAAGGTGTACAATGGGATGCAGGCTGACTAGAACAAGAGAAATGGTAGGAAAACGGGCATAAAGGAAGGCGAGTGAGGCGGCAATCCCGCTCGAACCTACCAGTCGCCGGCATAGAGCCACCTTTGAAGGTACGTGCTTTGTAATTGAAGGATTCGACACCCCTCTTGGAGGCCTCCGGGTAGACTTCTTTTAGGAGGTCAGGGCCAAATCCGATGGCTAAGATGATCTCGCTATCCTCATCACGGAGGTCAGCTGGGGAAATGCGGTCAATGTGAGCCTTAAAAAGGGGAGAGGAGTAAGTCAGAGCGGGCTGTCTGCACAAAAAGCGGGGTTAGTTGACCCCAGCAACACGGCAGACAGCGCGCTGATTGGGAGTAGCAGGTGTGTTACAGACGGACGCAAAACGAGAGGCTCGGTGAGATAAGTACGACTGACCACTTCCCTGACCCCGATTAGAGGAGGAGGAGGAGGAGGAGGAGGAGGAGACGGAATAAGATCCATCGTCAGCCGCGGCGTCCATGGCCACGTTGGAAATAACAAAGGTCAACAGGTGTGCGTGTTGCATGCGTGAGATGGGAGGTTCTATCCACGGCACCCCGGCCCGCCAACTCCAGTCGGACCGACTCTAAACCGTCAGGGGTATATGGTGGAAGGAGAGAGACCGATCTAATGAGGGTTCATCACATGATTTCTGAACAAAATGAGTTCCGGCCCACGAGCTATTTCGGTCAAGACTGAGTGCCAAGTTCCGATGCTGTCCTGTTAAAATAGGCTTATGGTAACTTTTACCGACATGACATTACGGTAGGTGTGGACCGAGTAGCCAACATATGTCTGTGGCAAGCGTAGACCGAGGCTCTGCATTTGGCCGGCCAGTGACCGCAAGTCTTGACCTTGCCTTAGTCGTGGAACACGATGGGAGAGGGAGTATAAATCGAGGTTTCGCGCAATTCGCTATTATTCTCCTCCAGAGACCTCCTCTGCTCTGACGAAGTTTTCAATCTTATTGCGTCAAGCAGGCCAATGACGACACCGAGACAATACACACTTTTCTGGCCGTGGTCAGCAACCAGCGAGCCAGTGATGCAGAGCAAGGCGAAAGTGGTTTCCTCACAATCATCTGGTCTCTTTTTGGACTGCAATTATCTGCAAAGAGGTGAAGGACTTTCAATTGCGGCAGATGTGCTAGACGAGGCTCGGAGGCCTGTCCTGTGTCTGTTGTGGCTTTGAACTACGCGGAGAACAGCTGACAACGCTTTCGTTTCTTACAGATCTTTCGGAGTCCAAAAAGGTCGATCACTTCTTCACAAGGCTCATTCCTACATTTTAGGAGTGCAGTTGATAGGACGGGGAGAACGCTTCACACAGCGTCGGATGTCAAGTCATAAATCACCACCGTTAGTATCCATTATCTCACAGATGCTGCTGTACACGAATCCTCTACAGCGAGGCCTATGACAAAGGGGTCGAAGTAGCAGCAGAAGAAGAAATACAGGGTTACTAGGTCCTCCCATGTGGATCGGCATCACAAACAGACTGGAGAATACAGCCTGATGGGAACTGCCGTCGCTCGTCGTCGCTTAGGTCTGATAGAGCTACCTCAACAGAAATGAGGTCGAAGTGACGGGTACTTTATCCGATTTTACATGATCACACGTGACATCAGGCATGGTAGTGTGAGGGACTCGGCACCAAAAAAGCTGATATGCTCAGATGTGTACCACTCCCTTCCCCCGTTCTGTGGTCGCTTGAAAGGTCATACCTTGCTGCGGTTGCTCGCTAGATAGCCTCTTCATCACTATCAAACGCAGTATTACAGAAAAATTCGACAGAGGGAGACGGTTGCTTGCCATGACGCCGACGCTTGAAGTGGATAAGCAGAGTGGAGGTAGTGTTGACTTTCATGGTCGAAATCACAGTCATAGATCGCGTTTGTACGGGCAGTTACTCCAATCATAATATTCCTTTCGTGGTGTTGCCTGTGTCCAAAGTCGTCATTCGGATCTGGTACATTTCTTGAGAGGCAAACTACGTTGGAGTGACAAGAGAGCGACAGCAGCACGCGTCCCCTTCTTTGAAGGCAACAATAACAAAAACACTCGCGGCTCGGTACACGGAGGCGTCAATAATCAACCATTGTTTAGTCCTCCACACAGCATGTTGGGTTCCATCAGTGTGCGGGAAGTGGAGGTAAGCGACAACAGTAGTTCAGGTTGAAACATGCCAGAAAACACCTCTCTCTTCCCCCTCGCTCACCACACGTCAAGCCTAGTTGTAGGTCACATCTTGAGGCGTCAGAGGAGGTGGTGCCATGATGCAGCCACCAAGCTCCTCCGCAGGCACTTATGCTGCTTACAGTGGCAGATCGCTTGCCAGTGTTAAAAACTAAAGTTTATGACTTAAATGGCATCGCATCGCATACCAACATCGTCGACAGCATGTCGGCTAGGTTGACAGCTGAAAGTAGAGGCTAATAGGGTGTAGGATTCTCAGCCCATTTTTGGCGGTCACTCTTAAAATAGCGCTTGTGTTTCTCTCCACCTCTCTGCCATGATACGATGTCACGTGACCCCAGCTGAAGAGTGCACGCACATGCGTAGGCTGCTAGTGAAGCCATCAGAAGACAAGTATCGTCTGTCATTGGTGCGGTTGTTTTTGCCGGGAGTTGTTTCTCGTTGCGCTATTGGTCCCCGACA